TCACCGCCTCTTCCATTGTCGGTCATCGTTCTGCCACCGCCACCTGGCCAATGCCACTCGGGGATTTCGACATCGTGGCCCAGGAGAATATTCGGGTGCCAGCAGAACGTTGGAAGGGGCAACGTTCGTATCGAAATCCGACTATAAAATCTCCCCGTGGACCACCACGGGTTCAGTATCGTGATCTAGCTCACCTCAGGGTCGCAACCGTCTCATCTTCTTCGAGGAGCAAGAAACAAATCCAACTCGACCAACCATGAAGCTGGTGCGTGTCCACTTCGTCTAGTAAACACACACACAACCGGATACACGAGTGAAATTTAACAAATTCTGAATCATCCACGTGCTCGAAATCATTGTTCACGATCGTACTGTGGTTACGAGCGCGTAATTAACGCGCCGCTAGGCATCGTTACGTACCATTTAACGATACACTGATACCGTTCGCAATTGCTCGGTTAAATCGCTATCATTGTTCTCCCGATGAGATGCAGGAACGCCGTGGATTTGTTTTAAGAAAATCACTGGATAACGGATCTCGGTTTTACGTAAGAAAACCAGATGGAAGACCGCGGGGATGGGCAAAATCCTTATCTAGATAACGAACGTGAATGGAGATGAAGCTACTGCTGAATTAAAATTACAGTTTTAGAATTAAATATTTCACGTTGAGTCAACGCGAATTTTACAAGTTATCTATTTAGTGATCAGAAAAGGTCCAAGTGATTACAGGTGTTTACCTAGTCTCTACACCCATTTATTAATAATAAAAGTCGAATAAAATTCTGTCCATTTCTAGTTCTATTAGTCGACGCGTGCCTCGAGAATTAGCGAGATTCCTTCAGCCAACCTCCACCAACACCTTTCGTCTCCATTTCCTGGTGCAGGTGATAATCGTTCGCTTTTCTTCGCAGATCGTTGCTTTCGCCTTCGTCGTCGCCGTCGCGTACGCTGCCCCACAGGGCCTGCACCAGGACGAGGTGGTGCTAGTAAAAGAGACACCTTCCGACAACGTCGGCCTCGGAGGTTACAACTACGGCTACGAGCTCTCGAATGGCCAGTCTCACCAAGAAACCGCTGACGTGATCAACGCTGGAACCGAGAACGAAGCACTCGCTGTTCGTGGAAGCTTCACTTGGGTCGATCCTTTGACCAATGTCAGATACACGGTCAATTATGTCGCTGATGAGAATGGTTTTCACCCACAGGGCGAGCACATCCCCTCGTAAATTGTACCTCTCGTTTAAATAAATTTCGCTCTTAAGTACCTGGCTACCGAATCAATCTTCTATTATAATTTCTTTAATTTAAGTTACATCACCATTCCTAGATTACTATTCCCCTGCTATTTCTACGTTATTCCTCTGTTATCAATTTTTAATTAAGTTACGTATGCTTTTTGCATACTTTTAATCATGGAAACTCTTAAGAAGACGAGATCTACGTTAAAATGATGAAACTATAAATTGAGATTATTATTTTATAATCGAAACAATGTTTGAAAGTGATCGTAGTATTACAAAATATATTATATAGTATTTAGTATATCAACTATAAGATTATTTTTAGTTCAAATAGATGATCTAATATCGATAATCCTACACTTATTAAAATTAATACCTAGTCAACACTGTAGACGCACAAAAACTAGGTATCGATACAAGATGAGAAATTAAAGTTTACGTTTAGAAATAAGTCTGTCGTCAGAATAGAAATTGATAGGTGTACGCAATGAAATGTTTTAGAAGTATAATTTTGTCTATGCAATTTTTATTACGTTTCCTAAAAATTAATCAAAGAATTCAGGACAATGCAGTGTCCATACAGATCAGCTGAAAATGAAACAAACTAACAAACAAAAAATGATGAATGGAGAGTACTTCAGAAAACGTATGAAATCAAGATTTCATTGATACTTTGCTGCATCAGTCGACCCAGAGATAGTGTCACCCAACTTGTCTACATAAAATTTATTTCCCTCTAGGATTCACAGATATATAGACACATAGCTTCACAATGAATAGCATGACAACCTTCGGAAGCACCTAAGATACCAATTAATCCAGTCTCGAATGAACTTCTACGACTAGAATACCTCAAGAATAAAATAAATCAGCGTAAGATGAATTGTAATAGGGGCGATAATTTCGCGAGAAAAAAGCATTGAGGAGCTTGTTAGCGCCCGATGTCCCAGTGTCAATTTCATGTATTGCCACAGACTGTTCGCGATGATGAGCAACTGCGGAGATAATTAGGCGGTTGATGAGTCGATGTCGTAATGGTATGCGCCGTAAAAGTTCGTATGACCGGTTTTCCTTGATTCGTCGATAACCGATGTTTGGAAATCGATTATTCCCGCGGTACCTTCAGGGCTCGGGGTTCGTCTGACGTATCTTTCCCAAAGGACGTGGATGAAGACTGTCATCATTGTCGAACGATAGGATTTATCGATCGTCTTATTGGGTACATCGCATCGACATGGGAATCTATAAATATACAGATGACATTTTATTATGCGCATTATTTTGCAGATTCTACTATTATTAACCATCCGAAAGGTTACGTCTGCGATTAATGTCTCTCTACCTTCGTTGCAGAAGGGAAAAGGTGACAAGGCGATAGAGTGAAATTATAGTTTAGAAATGATACTTCGATTTCGATAGATCGCACAAAGGAATGTCTTCTCTTACGTCTTTGTTCTTCGATTTTCCTCCGTTATCGATGGATTTGATTATTTAATACCGTTCATGAAATACCTTTCAATTCCTATGTATTTTTTTTATTAATAGAGATTTTTACATGAATTAATTTAGTCCTGAGTCCTTTTTGTATCGATACTTCTTACATTAAATCTCACTTTAGTATACTAATATATAACTTTAATAACTTAACGTGATTCTTCTTTTCGCGTTTAAGTAACATTGGGTCCTGGCTTGTTAAATATAGATTCCTACCGCGCAAATAATTTCACAGTTCCGTGGCTTTTCGAACGACCGATGCGAAATGCTATAAAAAAAAATTGGGGAACTGCAATTTCGCCAGAGGCTCGCAGACTTTTACGACGAAGGTCAGCCTATGGAACGATCAGACCCCTAATATAACGAGGAAAGGTGAAAGGTGAATTTATCGTGGACCAGTGCGAATTTTGGCAGGAGGAGGATCACTATAAATTTCGTGTCGATTCGGAGGATCCACATCAGTCTTCTAGATCAGACAAGCCACGCACACCTCCAACAAAAATGAAAACCGTACGTATTTCAGACAGCGGTGCAGTGATCGCGAATTCGATTCTATCTCGATCTCGATTTTAATTGATATTAATCAAAGTGAATTTAAACATGCAATCTATAATATACATATTGCTACATAAATTCTAATATGATTGTTAGCATATGTGGCACAAACACATAAATTGTAGAATATATTCAATGTATTAGGTTATCCCAAAAGTTTCTTTCGCTTTATTAATAAGTAATACATGCACAATATTTTATGTTTTATGTTACATTACTGAATCGTGCACGATTCATTTTGCTCCATTACTGTTACAACATGAATATCTATGAAATTAGATTGTCTATTTATATAAACACGACCACGTAAAATAATCGAGTGCAACTCGAGAAAGAAACTTTCGGGACAACCTAATACATAGCGGTATATTTTTTTCACGTTAATACCGTATTTATACCTGTCTTGGTACCATATCGCTGGACACCATAAATGCATAAAATCCACAGTCTAATCATTACTAATTTTGAACAGATAGAACAGTATCAAATATGATAATTATTTCCATTCTATTTATTTAGTGCAAACATGAATTATATAATCTTCCTTTGCATCAGGTGACCAATAAGGACTCCATGATGTCAACTTTTTCTATAAACAATTTACATCGTCAATTAATAACCGTATTATTCATAAATTCTACCACAGTCTAATGCATTATTTTATTTTTTTCCAGCTCATTGTTTTTGTCGCCGTCGTCGCCGCCGTTATGGCAGCCCCAGCAATCGTAACAGATCCCACCCTGGTTCGTCAACAAGATCAAGAGATTGTGCTCCTTAAAGAGAGTCCTTCCGATAACGTAGGCCTAGGCAATTACAACTATGGCTACGAGCTTTCCGACGGACAATCTAAACAAGAATCCGCGGAGCTTGTCCCGTCTGGTGGTACCGAGGGTCCTTTCCTCAAGGTTCACGGCAGCTTCTCGTTCGTCGACCCAATTACCAACGTTGCATACACGGTGAACTACATCGCTGACGAAAATGGTTTCCACCCTGAAGGCGAACATCTTCCCCACGCTTAAACTTCACAACCCTTCGACGAATAAGAGATCAACAATTGCCATGATACACTGGACAACAGTTACACTGGAAAATAAATACGAATTACTTTGACTTTCTTCTTCGAAGTCAGCTGTACATATCACACCTATGATCGATATCAAGCCCAGTTCTGTATAATAGTCTTGTTAATGTTTAATAAATTAGATAACTGTGCATCTGTGTTCTACAATTAACATCTATCCTTTTTAAGAAATCTCTTTGACATAACAAGTGTTTTACAGTAAAATCATCGCTTAAATGAAACATAAGCTCGTAAAAAGAATCGCGTACATATTTTAAATTTGGCGGTTTTTTTTTTTGTCAATTTAGATAGTGGCGCCATCGGCGGCAAAACGCCCAAGTTTGTAGTGAAAATAGTTTCCTCTATTTTGACTAGATGGCGCCAGTAACTAAAGGGGTCGTTAATTATTCAGAAATCGAATTATAACTATTCATAAAAATGATAATCTGGCATATTAACTATTATATCGCACTTTTATAAAACAACAAATTGTATTAATTAGGCATTTATAAAAAGAAAATATTCAGTTAAAAATTTTCAGTGGCTCTATCTAGTAATAATAATGGTAACTATTTTTTACTACAAGCTTGGGCGTTTTGACACCGATGGCGCCACTAGTACTAAAACCGCTCACTCAGCCGCTCAGTTAGCTGTGTCGCACTTAACCATTATATTTGACACGTCGCGTCCCGTGTGTATTTACTTCACACAATATGAATTATTTTTGTGATACCTTTTATTGAATTTGTTGATTTTGTTAGATCGTTTGCAAATATTGAACGAGCAGCTATAATGTTCCCTGGCGACGACGACAGACTTCCCGTGACAATCGTGTCGTCGGAAGTTTTTTAACCTACGTGTCAATTGGGGTTAGAATCGCGCAAAGCGGTCGTGCGATGCGGTTGATAAAAATTAGCTAAGCATGCCGAAATTTCGAATGCTGCCGCGAACATCGCGGATCGTGGCATTGTGTTCTGCCGCGAATTTTATAAACGCTGCGGATCGTGTTATAATGCCTATAGCAATCGTCCGTATGACGGATGAATTCAAATGGAATTTACATTGGCAAGGTTGGATACTTTCCGCGTTTGCCGTTGGTTATTTTACTAGTCAGGTACGATGGAGTATTTGATATTCAGATAACTCGTTATTAACTCACACTTACGACTTTCCACTCCATTTTAATTTAACGAATTGTTGAGTATCCGTTAGGGAGCATATTGTTTCTTACCATACCATATGTGACAGGTTTCTCTAATGTTTCTGTCCAATTAGATTATTGGTGCAAATACTGCAAGCCGGTTTGGATGCAAAACGGTACTAATGTTAGCGGTGCTACTATGGTCTATTAGTACAGTCATTACTCCAATTTTGGCACAATCAGTTCCATTGCTCATAATTTGTAGGGTAGTTCTAGGACTGGGAGAAGGTCTAGGTAAAGTATGGTTACATGTAGAATACTGAAACTTTGTTTTGGTAGATCTAGAATTATATTCTTTGTAGGTCTGCCAGTTATTTTTCACTTGTTTGCTCATAATGTTCCTGTAGAGGAACGTTCTCGTGCATTCGGATACCTTGTAGCTGCTGGTTCAGTTGGACAAGTAGTTGCATCTATTGTAAGTTTCATTAGTCTATAATTTACTTATGTGTCCTGATTAATGAATTTCATTTAAAATACACAAAATGCTTTCAGTTGTGTGCAAATTTAGCATGGCAAACAGGATTTTACTTATTTGGATCTTTTGGTATCATATGGGCGTTTTTATGGCTAATACTGTATCATGAAACTAATTCCCAAGACGAGATTCCATTATTTGTACCTAAGGTAGTCACTCTGTTTTTTAAATTATTAGTCAATGTAAGAACGAGTCCGAGCGACTAACCGACGGTTTTTTATTTTTCAGGTAACGCAAAATAGAAGTTTGCGTTGGATCGAATTTATTTCACATTGGCCTTTATGGGCACTGTACATAGCACATTTCGCAATGAATTGGAGTAACTACATAATAATGCAATGGTTGCCAACTTACTTGTCCAGAAATCTGTCTGCTAATAAAGAAAGTATTAGCTTGACAGCGCTTCCCTACATTGTAAATTCTCTCGTTGGTATCGGTAAGTATCGTCTAAGTTGTATTTAATATAAAAGCTGTACAATTCTTGTAGGAATAATATATTGTTCTCTTGCAGTTGCTGGACACAGTGCCGACAATCTCATACAGAAAAGGTGGCCCATCTTGTCCGTGAGAAGATTAATGACGAATATAGGCCTAGTCGGTCCCGGCGCATTTTTATTAGCATTCTGCGCCGTGGACAACCTACTTGCTGCAGTGATGTTAATATTAAAACTTACTATGTAAACTACCAAATAACTTTTATTATTAATTTCGACTTTCTCTATCGTAGCTTCGTTTCGATATCCATGGGACTTTGCGCGTGTAACTCTGCTGGCCATCTTAGCAATCACGCGGATATAGCACCAAATCACGCGGGAATTACTTTTGCGGTTTCCAATACCATCGTAAGTATCAAGTTTAATTAACATTATTTGAATAAATACTATCTGTTACGAATAAGTAAAGGAAACAATCGATTGTATTTTCTGATTAGGCAACCATACCAGGTATCCTGTGCGGACCATTGACGGCTGAATTGGTCACTGCATCGAGCGGTCGATGGATGCCCGTTTTCGTTTTGGCTGCGGCGATCAATTTCACGGGGGCCATCATATATCAGAGTCACAGTTCTGCGCTTCCAGTATTGTGATATGTTCCGTCGGGAAGGACTGTTGCGAGTGACCATCGTCAAACTCTGAAGATTGATACGACCATTAAAGAACTTGCTGCGAAAATATACCTTCGAATCGTGTTTGTCGTTCACGATCTTTTTAAAAAAAATTTTAATCGGAACACCGGTATAGCACATTTGTACATCACACGTCGGTTATTCACAAACGTATCAGAATACGGAGTATGTATGCTGTGAGAAAATTTCATACTCTTGTTCAGTTTACAGTTGCAACGTCAGTGCGGATCGTTGTTTTTACAAATAGTGCCATAGCTTTATGCACACGGTGGAATTGGTTGATCGTGTTAATTATCGAATGTAAAATACAGCCTAATTAATTACGACTTTTTCAAATATTTTTTAACAATGATCGGGGAAGGATTTTGTGATACGTTCAGACATAATATTAACAAAAACAAATGAAATATTCATTTGTCATATAGAGAATGAATGTATATTCTGTATAACATAAGACTGTATATATACATAGAAATTTACCTGTCACATATACATTTAAATGTCTTTAAAGCACCGTCAACATAAAGATATTATTAATGATTAAGCAAACAATGTATTAGAATATATGACAAAAAATATGTTTTCTATAATATGTAAATTACATCTGTAAAAAGAATAGTTAACCTTTAATTTTATTATTTTTAATATTCAATTCTACATGGGTTTCAGTGAAGCATCCTTTCTCAAATAATCCGACTGGAGCACGCGTGACAATACATTTCGAGGCAGACCAGTACTCGATGTATGCATTCCCATTTTTATGAAAGCGTTTTCCCTGAGAGTGGGTGTCGTTCCAGTTTGTATCGAAGTATCAAAGCACGATGCATTACTGTCTCGCACTAAACGATCATCTTTCCTTGCAAATAGATTTTCTGTATCTGGTTCCTTGGATGCTTTACCACTTTCAGTTTTCACATCCATTATCGAACTTTCTACACCGATGCTTCTAATTCTTGAGCAATCTTTTACATCACGATTTTCAATTCTCACCCCAGGGAGAGAATCTTCTCCTAACGGAGAATGCTCTTCGTAGTCACGATCCATGTCGTAAAAATCGAAAGATTGCACGTTTAATTTCTCCATCATTCGCGCCAGGTCCTCTGGGGACGAAAACAATTCTTTTCTCTCCGACTCCTCGTTGTTGACAAAGTTCCTCTCTGCATCGCTAACGTAGTTCTCCAAATATTGCTCTATGTCGGAACTCATCTGTTTTCTATTCCCTCGAGTCCCTTTTCTGAAGTTCATCGATAGACCACTCGATTTAAGAGCATCCTTGACGTTCTTAGTGCTCGTATTAGAAAGCAGAGATCTCATTTCAAATTGTTTGTCCGTATGGATGCTTTTCAAGGCGCTGCTTGGAGCACCATTCGAAATTTCATCGACTATTCTTTTGTCGGTTAACTTCTCGTAGGGACTTCCCTTTGGGAAAAGTACTTCCCTGATTTCATCAACTTTCTCTTCGTACGAAGATCGAGGAGCAATTAACGCCTTGTTCGCGCTTCGCTGCAAATGCTGGTTCGATTTTGGATCCATGTACGATCTCTGAATTCTGTCTATCTCTCGTGACATCTTGTCCAGAGTGTCGTACAATTTTTTGCTTCGAGTACCCGAGATGAAATTCTTCCCTTTGGCCCATCGATTGCCAGCTCTCAACGAGTGCCAGTCTGATTTCACTTTCTCTACTTCGCGATCGATCTCGCTGACGGGATTCCGTTTTCCTTGAGGGGCAAAATTTAGTCAGAAACTTAGTGGAACAAATAAGGATATTTATTAGAGTATTGTAATACAATCTCACGTCTTTCGTCGCGATCCATGGCCAGTCCCTCTGTTCTCCCTTGCTGTTTTATATTAGGTAAATTGGTGCTCTTGTTATAATTTGTTACATCTTCCAGTTTTTCGAATTTGTTTGGAGCGGAGTCACAGCGCGATTGCAATTTAGGTAGAACAGCCGTACTCGACAGATGGGCTCGACCATTGCCAGAGAAATCTGGAAATATATGACTGCTTAAACGTGGGTCTTTTAAGTATAAGTATTACCTAAGTATTTTTGCTAAATAAATAAATCGGTCGATAGAAGTTTACCTCCTTGGCCAATGTTAGAGGAGCTTTGAGATCCTGCTGGAGCAGAGCTTTTCGAACTTGTTTTGGGATTTCCGAATGGATTGAACTCGTACACGAAATTGTGCGTGGCGGTAACCCTCGTTGGCTTCCTCCCTTTTCTGGACACGCTTTCTGTAGACTGTTAGTGTTTTCCACGGCATTACAAGCGATTTTAGAATATTAATACAAATTTAATTTAACGCATCTAACTTTGTTTAATTTCCATCTTGGCGCTCTCCTTTCAACAACATCCGTATGCAGCTGGGCCTTTTTGCATTTAAAATGTTGCTTCAATTTGCAGCGATGGAAATCCACGTCAGAGGTGATTCGATCTTCGGGACTCGTTGATGTCTGCGTTTCTTTCTTATCAATTTTGACCAGGCGCGGCCTGCGAAGTTCCACAAGTCAGTCTTTTCCAAAGCATCGCAATTCGACTACGTTCTTTTTCTTTAGTGAGCGTACTAACATTATGTCTGTACGCTTTGTTTGTCCGGTCAGCGTTATGAAAACAAACGTGAATTAAACATACTCCATTATCGTTCAACTACATAAATAGCCACAGTTCACGATAAAACAGATCTTACTTGTTATAAATATTGGCTCTCACGTAATCCTCGATGATTTGCTCCGGTTCGACAAAGTGTTGGAAATTGAATACAACTTCTTTCCCTTTCTTAGAGAAAATGGATCCCTGGCGAACGGGTTTCCTCTTAGTGGAGCTCCGAATATGTTTGTACCAAGTCTTACGATCGCTAAAAAAAGCACATTGTATTTCTCCTTGGCGACTTCAACTCTCAAACGCAACATTTAACGGTGTACCTATCGTGACGAGAAGGCGATACCAAGTCTTTGAATTTATCAGCCCTTTCCTTGCTCTGTATTTGCTGCTCTGTGGCTCCAATGAACACTGACAATCCGTTGATGCGTTTGATCTCTTCACGATTCTGTACCTTGGACGCTGACGAGGTCTCAGGGTACAATGGCAAAAAAGTAGGCACGCAATGTGGTCTGTTGCAACTTGGGAACCCCTCGAACACCCTCGCCAGTTCCAGAAGTAATCCTTGGATCCCCTTTTATCTTTCAGAAAACTGCTGCGCGCTCGTAACCTGTCCGAAACATGTTTTGGTTGAGAATATCGTTTCCAGAAACGAAATAAAAGAATGTTTCGTGTCACGCGAACTTGGCAAACCAAGGAGAACCGAGGAGAACCGAGGAGAACCACGAAGAACATCTGAATACGCACTCAATGATGGCGTTTCCAAATTTCTCTTAACCCTACCAAAATTATATTCTCTGTAAGAAACAGTTTATAATTGTTCCCTGACTCTATCCCCTTGCAATCTTGCAACATTATCGTGACAATGCTCGCAACGTTCGATGCAGATCAACTTTACGACGGATCTTTGCAGCCCGAGGTAAAACCTCTTCAGGAGTTTTCGAAGGTAAACGGAGTTCAAAGGAAAAATGAGAACTCTTCAGCGTCGATTAGGCGCATTCAGAATCTTTCGAGGGACGAAGCACAGATAAGCATCACGATGAAGACGAGGAGCATCTCTGATCTGCAAGGAGGGAACACCTCTTCAGGTACCACTGTGGTGACAATGCATTCCAAATCGACCATGAACAGAAAGGACATAAAGAATAATTTGCCTCAATCGCCGTGCCAATATTCTCCGAGACGAAGAAATGAAGTTTCTAAAGATAACGTCGAGGAGCGCCTTACATCGAAGGCTCCTGACTTCTCGACACCCTCGAAGAGCCCTTATTCGTCCAAGAAGCAAGGTAGCTATTTATCTTCCCACAGCGCACGCAAAATCGAAGACAGACCCATCGGAGACGCTCTCTTCAGTTGTCCTTTCGAACTGGTGGAGATCTATTCTTGTAATAAGGATTTGGGTTTCAATAGACGATTCTCTGACGCAAGTCGAAAGGGAAGCTCGATGAGGTCCTTTCCTAAAGAGGACAACGAATCGTCGAAATCCTCTATCCTGGGAGAGGACGTTTTCTCCAAGGTAGGATCGAGTACGTTCAACAGTGCCACGCACGATGGAAACTCTGTGAACTCGAGCAAAAGCGGAATTTCGAAATGGATGCTCGACTTGAACAATTCTAGCGGCTACGAACACTTAGGAACCGATTTCTCGTCGATGGAGAATGCAGTTATCGATACGAGAGACAAGAAACCGACTGAGAAAAGAATGATGAACGTAGATAGTTTGCTATCGACGAAGAGTACGATGGTAGAGGTAAAAGAAAAGAGGCTTAAGTCTGAAAGAAGGAACGTAGATGCGGACATGTCTTCACTTGCAGTGATTGATGTAAAAGAAAGAAGACTGAGCTCTGAAGGAAGAACTGTAAATATATCGCCAATAGAGACTACAAAAGTAAAAGAAAGCACATCAAATTCAGTAAGAAGACACATGGATACCAAGAATATGTCGTCGGTGGAAAGTACAGTGAACGATATGGAAGAAAAGGGATCTGATTCTTCGATGAAAAACACAGCGATTAATTCAAATGAATTCAGTACAATGAATTCCGACAGAAACAATGAGAAGAGCATAAAGGTAATTATCGAGAAGCGTAAACCAGAGAAAAGCGATGTCAGCTCCGATGAGATCCTACCCAAGAAGAGTAAAATCGATACAACGTTGACGGGGGATCCTGAAAAGAAAATGGCGAAGTTGTTAGTCGAAGATTTTAAGTCTCTTAACGTGGAACAATCGAATGTTAATTACGGGGATGCAAAGATATGCAAACTTCTTACGAAAATCTACGAGCAGCTGTCCAGCGATTGGGAAAGGATGGAGTCCATCAGGACGAAACAACATGGCGACGTTTCTGTCGGTTCTATTTGCTCGAAGATGACGTTGCGACTGTTAAACAGTACCATTCAAAGGTACACTTGAGAATGACTCTTTTTAGTTTTGACCTTCTTTTTCTGGAAAGTTTGACCAAAAAAATAAATTAACATAAACTGAACATTCAACGAATTTAAAAGCTGTTCTCAACAGGTGCAGGAATTATATTTACGGTGCGAACGACAGTTTCAAAGCTGAATCGGAGATCACAGAACTTTTTTCACAGTATGTCGTCCAGTTGGTGAACGCTGTGAACAAAAATAAACTCGTCATCGAACAACACGGTGAAAAACATTTTCCTGGACCAAATAATTATTCATATTCTGAGTATAACGAATCCTTTTCACTTGCAGAATGTCGCCTAGAGCACATGCAACCAGAGTTACTTTGGGAAAAGAGTGCAAATGAAGAAGTAAGCCTTAATATACGCTCAGCATTTTCATCTTTCAGTGAATGTACAAAATACTTCTAATTTATTCAGAGAAGGATTCTGAACGATGACGCTACGTTCTGGGACCGCTGGACACGCGAGATAGGCTGCGTGATAGGATCCATCTTCAGCTCAATCGAACGAGTGATAGCTGTGAACGAAGAGAAGGAGAATGTGCCAAATCCTCGACAATACAATTCAACGAATCGTAGGCCGACGAATATGGTTGCTAATGATAGAAAGTAATTGTTGTAACAATTAATGCTTATCGTAAATAGTAAATAATCCTCATGTATTTAAATAGTGGGTTAATTTTACACAACGAAGTTGGTGTTTCAGACAGAAGCATGGAGTCCCACCAAAAATCACCAAGGTAAACCTTATGAAGAAAGAGAGTTCCATCGAAACGCAGATGTCTGTCTTAAATTCGAATAATCAGGTGATACAATCAAAATCCAAGACGTCTATGAAACAGGTGATTACTCCCAGAAGTCGAGAGACCAAGTTGGCACCCCAAGGTGATAAAAAGAAGCTACTTTTCATTTTTAAAGCATCTCATTGTCTCGTTGACAGTGCAAGGAAGAAAATAAATATTTGAAAAATAAAGAACGTGAGAAATAAAGTGAATGGAAAAAATGAGAATGTAACAATAGAAAGATCTTTGACCTGTCTTATATTTAGAAGCCGTTCAAAGCAAAATCGTCGAGAAGAGGACGAACGATAAGGGAAAACTGGCGAAGAAGCCAACGTTGAGCGCAAATTTCAATCAATCGAAGCAGCCAATCTCACGACAGAAGCACCGTGCATCTAGCAATCCCCAGCCAGTTTGGAGACCTGGTGGATCGGTGAAACTTCCATCGTCGAGTAGCGCAACGACGATGATGCAAAAATATCGCCCATTCTGTCACACCAAGGAGAAGACCAATCAACCAAACGAAAATATAAAGTGAGAGTATAAAGTTCTCTTCTACTTCTTCTTCTGATGCATTTTTTTAAATAATCGACGAAAATTCTCACGCAGAATGCCTGCTAACAAACGTGGAGATTCGTTGGACCGTATCGTATCCAAGAAGAACTTGCTGAACGTTCAGAAAACTGTAGACGATAACGGCAAGCGTACGACGAAGATGTGCAACAATTTTATGTAAGTTGCGATATTAATAGGCGTGGAAAAGCTCATGTATCGTACTCATAGTTCAAAGAAAACAATAATTAAGGATTCAAGTTTATCAAATCTCCAATAACAGTTGGCTTCTTTTTCAAAGCAACGTTTTACTAAGAATAAATTCATCGTGCTTCGTTTTCCAAATTTTATTTTCAGAGAGTCGAGACAGAGACGAGTTGCGAGCGAATCCAGGAAAAGGGTGTCCCAAGAAACGTATTCGATGAAGGATATGGTGTGCAATCTGGAACCAGACGGTTCCAAGGTCTCTAGCAAGAGGAGCAACACAAGTTTGAAGACCAGCCCCAGACTGAAACTAAGACCAGGAATTCTGAGAGCCTGGTCGAAAGGCTACAACGAAACTCTGCATCATTCAGAGTCTGCATGCTCGAAGAAATGCGAGAAGACGTCGTCGTGGGAGAAGATGGGTCGACAGAAGAGCTCGAAGGAATCAAGAGTTCTTCAGGTACTGGAGGATATTATAAAATCCACGCCAATAGAGAAAACAGGGGACAAGAATGCTCAAAACGTAGTGGACTGTTATCGTATTCGAGCTGAAACAAATTCTCATCGTTTAAAGGAGCCAACAGGTGTCAAGGAAGAAAATAAAATTCACGAGGAAGTGCCTACGAGGGATGTCGACTCCATCCTTCATAAGAACGATCATTTAATAAGAAAGCTTCCAGAAGCTTCTGTGACCCATGATTTTGCTCCACTTCCCATTGTAAATGACAAAGAAGATGTCAAGGATGTTAGAGTAGGTGTCGATCTAAAAAAATCCCCTCCGTATTCCAGTTTCATTTCCATAGCAAGTGCAAGCTGCATGGCGGACTTCAGCTCGAGCTCAGACTGTGCAACTGCAGTTGAATCTTCAAAGTGCTGCCAGACGTCCTTCAACTCTATTTTTTCGTCCACGTCGAATTTGGAACAGAAGGAAGAGAAGTCCAGAAGGCACGCCAACTTACAGGTATCTTTCATTGATCGCATCGACGATCCACAAGAGTGTAACAAAGAAAAATCTAAGGATCTGATTGATAAAGAGAAGTCTAAGAATGCGTCAGTTGTCGAAGAAGAAACATTCAAGGATCTACCTGTCGTCGGAGTAGAAACACTCAAACCATCGGCAGCTAGAAAAGAAAAGACCAAGTGTCCATCGCCCACAAAAGAAGAAAAGTTCAGCTTATCGCCTGTTACAGAAGAGAAATCAAGAACGAATCCTCATTCACTGTCGTTGACCATACTGAAAGAATTTCTTTGCAGTCAGGGTGTTGACGTAGACTTGGTGAACAGAGCTGAACAGCGTCTGAAAGACAGACAGAAGACACGTAAATGTTCAAGGAAGTCTGTCAGCTCTATTGATGCCACTGTTCCAGATGTTACAGACAGTTCAGTGACAATGTTGGAGAAAGTCACTGAGAGCAAGAAAGAAGATTTTAGCCTCACAGGTAAACAAAAGGTAATTGGTAAGATTTCGAATGAATTTATTACGAAAAAACTCGATGCTGAAACATGTACAGAGAGGAATATCAGCGACGCGTCTTCTCAGACTAGTTACCAATGGACTACAAGCAAAAGCTTGCAAACTATTCCTGAGGAGATCATTTCGAAGAAACATCAGGAGATGGAAACACAAACGGAAATTACTTCAGTTAAGCACGTGGTCAGCGAGTGTCACGAAAAGACACCTAAAAAATTCAAAAACTTTAGAAACATTTCTTCTATGACAGACTCTCCTCCTAAGAGCAACAATTTCACGGAAACTATCAAAGTTTCATACGTTTCGAAATCGGTGGCAACGGAAGTCAATTTTCCAAAGAACCCGGAAGAAGATCGTCATAACTTCAATTCACCCTTGATAACAGTCAAGGTACGCGATGATAAACGTGTCGGAAGAACGATTGGTAAGGATGATCACCAGTTGAAACGATTGTTAAATGAGATGCAGTGTCAGGACGAGTTCTCGATGCATTGCGAATTGGACGCGTCAACGTCCTCCTTGGATTTGTCTTCTGAATGTTTAAATTCGAATGAAACAGAGGACAAAGAATCGAATAAATCTCTTCTCAAAGTACTTTCTAGCGAAACGATAGCTGCTTTGCAAATAGCTGCGATTCGAGCCCAAAACGTGTACAAAGCTATAGGCATTTACAAGCAGAGTTTGGAAGGCAAGCTGAAGAAACTCAAAAATCAGACCGAACTCAAGAAAACAGAAAAGGAAAACGTGGAAAGTTGCAAGGAATTGTTAAAAACCCTGTACAAAAGTAACGTCGATATCGTTATAACAAAAAGCTGTGACCGTTTTGATAGTGACCACGACATCGAGCCTATCGAGGTTTTGAAGAAACCGGAAGTTGTCTTATCTTCGAGTGAAAACTCAATTGAACGCGACAGTAAATCTGACGAAGCAATTTTTAAGGCCACTTCCACGCCAACTGTAAATGCTTCGATCGATGGGAATGTACTTGACGTGGTCGAATCATCGAGCAGCGTTCTGTTGAAGGACGTGAAGTCCTTGGTGGAGTTCCTCATCCACGAAACAGAAGGGGCAAAAGTTAATCAAATATACTGCGTTCAGAAGATCCCAAATGGTTTGATATCTAGGTTTCGTGAGAAAAGTTTGCAAGTGGAGAAGAAGAAGCTGCAGGATGAGTTTTCGATTTTCTCCAGGGAGAGTGTGTTGCCTCTGGTCTATGGTATCGTGTGCTCCTTTGTGTTCTGGTGTTTGCAATTTACGATCTCCTGTGACAACATTTTATGACTTGTTTTATCCTCTGCGTCCTGTTTGTGTCTTTTCCCTTTATTTGTATTTGTAAATGTTCTTTAGATTTGTATCTTGTGTTTGTAGTTCTTTCTGTCGAATAAACCCTATGTATTTGCGTTTACTTGTGCTGTTTAATACGCACATGATAATAAGAAATATTGTTACAATTTATTTATTAATGCTGCGTGCTTTAAATTATTGGAAATGCATAAACACATCTTGAAACTAAGAAATTACTCTTAATGATTACATAACCAATTCAAATTTCGCGCGTGTTTACAGTCAACCCCAAAGCCATCTAGTGACGAGAGGGTCGAACTATTATTCGGAGTTTGGTCAGCGCCTCTATCGGGAAAACGCTCAAGTTTGTCCTCAATAGTTCCTTCTGTTGCTGCTAGATGGCGCCATTTCCGCGGTTTTTTTTACCGACACGTCGATACATTACCATCCTGTCGGTAAAAAAAACAGCAGAAATGGCGCCATCTAGCAGCAACAGAAGGAACTATCGAGGACAAACTTGAGCGTTTTCCCGATAGAGGCGCTGACCAAACTCCGAAAATTAGTTCGACCCTCTCACCGCTAGATGGCTTTGGGGTTGACTGTAAAAACGCGCGAAATTTGAATTATGCAATCATGAAGAGTAATTTCTTAGTCTACAGATTTGTTTACGCATTTTCAATAAGTAAAATTCTACATGAATTAATTCGGTGATCAGGATTAATAGATATTATATTTATTTATGCATTTGTTTGGAAGGAAATAAATTTTGTACACTGATCTTTTTGGACATTTTTTAAGATTTATTCACTTATACATAAGGTCAAGTGGCAATACAATATTAAAGAAATAATCATTTTCACGATATGGAAATTTAGACAAAGGTTTTCCTGCTGGTTGCTAACTTATGTTTAAGGAGCAAGTTGTCGATTTTCGTCGCACTTGCTACCTATATACGCAAACAACGGAAAGCAGCAAACAATGTTTAAATCGCACAAAAAAATTATTAATATACGTTTCTAATTTGTTCTAATATATGTGTATCGATCAAATGTTGAACTTTAAAAATCAACATTTTCTGTACATACACACATCTATATATCTTCACTGATTAAATTGTCAGTCAGATATAGCATTAGCAACAAGGTTAAAGGTATGAAATTATGTTAAACAAATGTTCGATATCTTAACACCATTGAAAATACAAAATCTTTCAAATTGTTCAGTACTTTACTATCATCTTTTTATATATCCTCCACAAAATGGAGTATGCTGCTTCCATCAATTTTATCTTCGAATATATATACCTTGTCCAAATGTAATACATGGTTAGATCTTGGTATACCCGCTTTAAAATTAAAATAAAATTACATACTGTTATTTAACACTAAATGTTACTGTACATAGTGGCACGTACGCCCGTTTTAAATAAGAAATAATGATCTGTGACCGATTATAGTTCATGGCGCTTCGTATCAAATCTACAGTACTGGATTTAACGTAGACTTCAAAGGTTCAATTGTCAGAAGCGACCAGATCTCTTGGATTTCCAACCTGATCGGTAATAGTACCTTCATACTATAATCAAGTTGTTCAATCGCTTCCTTGCATAATTTCATATAGTTTAACTATATAATAACAATTGTGCACATGGATAGTAATTCAATCTGAGACAGTTGGTTACAGGAATCTTAGCCATCTACTGTCTCGTGTATGCTAAAAGATCACAAGTCTCAGTTGTCATCGGCGTCGTCGTCGTCATCGGATATATATTTCTTTGTAACTCTCTTCCTTCGACCTCCTCTGCCTTCGCCCTTCTTTCCTTTCAATTTAATTTTCATTCTTACACTAGAATCAGCATCAGACCCTTCTTCACCATCACCTTGAAACAATCATATCCACGTCAAATTATTTATAATCTTTTATTTCATCGTGATAAATCGTAATAATAAAAAGTACCTTTATCATCAATGTCTGAATTATTACCCTCCTCTTCGATACGTTGACGCGCATTTGTGAACACGGATTGTAAGACGATAGAGTCTTCGTGTATCAGAGAAGCTTCTTCATTATAAATTTGCGCATTCTTGCAGAGCTGCATGAAATCTTTCTCGAGATCATCGAAATCGGCGTACTAAAGAAATAAATCGATTAGTACGAATATAACTATAATTAATAAATAAAGACGCATGGAAAATGAATGTATACTTGCCTTTCCCTCTTCAATTTTTTGAAGCAATTTATTGATGGTTAGTGGCTTCTTAATAATTTCATAATAATCTGGCAATTCTCTCCTAGATGGTAATTTCATAAATGGTTCGCTAAGTAGTCTACCATCCGAGCTGTCGGTGTAATTAACAACTACCATAAGCAATTTCTTCATAGCCCGTTTCATTTTCGGATCAATCGAGGATCCACCGCCTCTCCGTTTCTTTGGTATAGGTTCGTCGTCTTCTTCACCCTTCTTTTTTCGTTTTCGTGTTTTCTTCTTCTTCTTGTCGTCTTCCTCCTCCTCTTCATACTCAGCACCATCGTCGTCGATCGCTTTCAGCCACTCCTTCTCCGTTAAGCTATCCGTATAATCGACTTCTTTTCGTTGCCTCGAACCTCGTCCAAGGAACCTATCTTCGTCTTCTTCGTAGGTCCATCTTTCAACCTCATCATCATCTTTCACCAACCAATCGGGCAACTCAGCTTCCTCTAGCAATCGAGACTTTCTGTTCGGACCTAACTTTGCCTCTTCTCTTCTTCGTTCCAAGTCTAATTTTTGGAATGTCTCGAATTCGCCCTCGGTTCGAGCAATCATTTGATTTACCGTTTCGTCGTCCGGTACTTCGTTTTCTTCTTCATCTTCAGCATCATCTTGATGCAAGATGCTTTGCAAAAATTGTTGTCGCTCCGAACCAGTGGACTTCTGATCGAACATTCCCGCTTGTATAACCTTTTCGTCCATGTTCAATTTGTACCTGGCCGCTGCCAATATTCTTTCTTCCACCGAATTGACCGTCATCAGTCTAAGCACGCGTACTTCGTTCTTTTGACCGATTCTGTGTGCTCTGTCTTGAGCTTGCAAGTCCTGGTGAGGATTCCAGTCGGAATCGAAGATAATTACGGTATCCGCGGCTTGGAGATTCAAACCGAGACCACCAGCACGCGTCGACAACAAGAACAAGAAGTACTCAGAACCTGGATCGTTGAACTTCTTTAATAAGTCTCCTCTGTCCTCAGCCTTTGTTGTACCATCTAATCGCAAATACATAAATCCTCTCCAACTCAGATAGTCTTCCATGATCGTCATCAGCTGTGTCATTTGACAGAATAATAGTACTCTGTGATTAGTTGCTTTCAATTTCGGAAGAATCCGGTCCAACAGTTCAAATTTACCAGATGCACGATATAAATCAGGTCCCGTAATGACGCCAGAGCCCTGCGTGCCAACATGCTCGCAATACTTCTCTTCGATGGCTTGGAACATGAATGGGTGGTTGCATAACTTTCTTAACTGCACAATGGTGTTCATCAAGGCCTTGGCGCCTCCTTTACCCTGTTTTCCTTTTTCAGAACCGTCGGTTAGAAGTACACCCTTACTCTGCATGTGTTTGTAAAGAACTTTCTGTAACCCGGACATGTCGCACTTGATGATGTATTCGACTTTATCGGGTAATTGCGACTCGACTTCTTTTTTCAGACGTCTCAATAGGAAAGGACGTAATACTTTGTGCAACCGACGAATAATAAGAATAGTTTCTTCCTCGTTCAGTTCGACCTTTTCACCGGTAGTTGCGAATGGAGCGTTGAACCACTGCTCGAAGGTGCTGCAAGATTTGAATATCGACGGAAGTAGGAAGTTTAGCAACGCCCACAACTCGGGTAATTTATTTTGTAACGGTGTTCCTGTTAGTAATAGTCGGTGAGGAGCTAAGTAATGCGTATTCAGCACTTGCGTTAGTTTACAGTGATGGTTCTTCATTCTATGACCTTCGTCGATGATCATGTACTTCCACTGCAGTTTGGCTAAGACGCCTTTATCTTTAATGACGTACTCGTACGTAGTAAGCAAAACGTTGAATTTAGTGGCTCTCATTTGAGATTGAATAGCTCTTCTACCGGCCGGCGAGCCTTTGTACGACACTACCACCACACTAGGAGCCCATTTCTCGAATTCCAAAACCCAATTTGATAATGTAGACAACGGCACGATTATGAGGAATGGACCATTGACTTTCTTCTTCTCCATCAGGTAAGTCACCAGCGCTATGGTTTGGATAGTTTTACCAAGACCCATTTCATCGGCAAGTATACCATTAAGATTATTATTAAATAATGAAACTAACCACTCCAAGCCCTTTATTTGATATTCTTTCAATTTTCCATTAACCATGATCGACGCTTGCTCTGTTACTACTTCATGAACAGTATGCGCGATACTATAATACGTCTGTTCTTCAGTTTTATACTCGTCATCTTCCACTTTCGCTTTGTGTATTGTTTTCTTGACCTTTTCTTCTTCCGAATCGCCCGCAGACTTTTCTTTATTATCACATTTGTCGTCGCCATCGTTATCATCGTCGTCGTCATCATCGTCATCTTCGCTTTCTGACTCGATCGGTTCCCAACCTGGGTGAGATTCTAAAAATGCTGAAAGTTGGCTCATCAATGGCGCTTCTTCACCGGTTAACGTGCGACCGGTAGCAATTTCGATTACTCCTACGCGAGTGTCTTCGTTGGAGTTACCGTCTTCACCACCCTCGCTATCTTGCAACTTCTTCTTCTTCTTCTTTTTCTTGCGCTTTTGCTCCTCCACTTGCTTTCTCTTTTGTTCGATTTTATGTTGTTTAACCATTTCGGTCAGGTTACTAATGTATTCATCAGTCTGCGATAACAGGAAAGCTAATCGCTTATCTTTCTTTTGATCGATCAACTTTCTGTATCCTTCTTCATCTTCTGCCATAAGACGTCGCATACGTTCCTTTTCGATTCGTTCTTGTTCCTTCTTCTGTTCTCGTTCCGCGTTGGCATGATAATTGAGAACTGCTTTGTTAAGCCTGGCCAGCCTGGCCACGTTATTCCGATGGAACTCCTTGAAATCTTTACCATGTTGAAGCACAGAGTTAAGGAATTCCTGCAAAAAAAAAAAAAATTATATTTATAGTTGATGTACGTATTACTTCAATATTAAAAATTATTAATGTACTTACTTGATGTTTTTGTCTGCGTTTACGTTCTGCTTCCAACTTCTGTTGCTTTTCGAGTTTTTCGGTAGCTCTAGCTTCCCGAAGGCCTTGTTTCTTCGTACGCTTATAGGCTTTTACATTTACCGCAGTTTCTAATGTAGTGTCCTTCCGAGTGCACGCTAAGATCTGTCAATAAACAAATGTATGTATATCAATAATTGACGCAAGTGTTCATTATAAATGCAGCGACAATGTTTCTTTGGTAATTACCTCTGATCGTAATTGCCTTTGGAAATTCAATACTCTAAGCATTCGCAATTCGATCTGTGCTTGGACACGAAGATCTTCTGGCATATTGGTTGGTAAATTGCTCAATTGTTCCATGCGCAATGCTATACGCGCTGCCACCCTGTTATTACATATTCAAGTTTAATTACATATTATCAGCAGACATCTTGCATTTAATCAATTAAGGGGGCTCCCTCGTAAAAATATTTATAATCTGATATTACCAGAGTGCCTTCTCAAGATCACATACCAAGCAAGATGTACTGCTATCATTGTTTATAAAATTTTAAGAATTATTTTTTTCAGATGTTTTATCATTTATCAGTTGCATACTTGATAAAAATTATTATTTTTGTCTTGTATCGATGTTACTTAAAGTGCAATCACGATAGATTAGGCTATTTTGACAAATCCAGCTAGCACTTGTTATCGCGTTCTTTTTACCCACAATCTTTTCAGAGTAATATGTTTAAGACTCGAATCTTTAAGAAAATACAGAGAGGAAGAAATTTTTATCAAAAATTACCGGACTGCCTCCTTAAGACCACATAACAAACAAGATGTGTACTAGTTATTTAAAAGCAATTGAAGATGTACAATATTCATATGTATAAACAGTATAAAGACAATCCCAACGGATTAAGTTACTTTGATAAGTCCTGTGAGCACCTGTTTTCACGTTCTTGTAATATCAATAGCGGATCTAATCCAGCTGGTTTCGCCACGCTCGTTACTCTGTTAGTCTTGGCACCTGGTTGAGGAGGCTGTTGCTGTTGCGGTGTTTGACAACCTGGCCTCGGAGGAACTGCGGGACCGATTACGTTTGGTCCAGAAATTTGTGGACCTGGGGTGGCAGTGGTTCCTTGAGATGGATCTATAGGAGCACGTTGTCCCATACCTGGAGGAGGAGGAGGTGCTCCACCTATTTACATTAATCTTACATCAAACCCTTAACGCGGATCATCCTACTCTACTTTTGTATTTTTCCATAGTACAATTCTACATTATTTCTGAAAACGAAATGCAAAGTAGCTAGAAATGAAAACTGTGTTCATATCAAACATCGATTATACATTCTGCTATTAAATAGTTATAAGAGCAGTATCGTAGGCAGTTGCAAAGTCAACTAAGATGAACGTGCATGCGTACGGTATAAGAGGGTAGCGATTTTATTCCAGTAATCAATCTTTTATAGTCTTAATTTGAGATTGGGATGCCTTCTACTAATACAAATAAAATTTATTTTTACATTTACACGCAAACAAATTTCATTAGTTAACAAACAGCAGCATTAATGAGATTTAAACTAGAACAGGCAAAGTAGGCAAATAAAAATACAAATCGGTAAGTAAGCAACAAATATCGGCACAATATTAAGCAATACAAAAGATAGAGTAGTCACCTACGACACAAAATGTATATTACAAATTTCAATGTTACGCTTACTTTGAAGAGCAATCGTTAGTTGTTGCGTCAACGGTTGGTTCCTCGCTAATAACCGATACGCCATTATCTGCACGCTGTAAACGATTATATGTGTAATGTATATTCCTTGAAATAATTACAAATTAACCAATGCATTATTACGTATAACATACCGTAGCTGTTGTAATTGCTGCGAACTAAACGCTTGTTTTTCTCCCATATTACCTTGACGAGCTCTTAAAGCGAGTAATTGGGAGTAGCGAGGATCTTCTTGAAGTCCTTTCTCTTCCATAGAATCGATGGCTTTTTGCAGAGCGTGTAAGTTTTCCTGGCCAGCACCAGGAGGACCTCCAGGGCCAGTAGGGCCAATTTGTCCGGGGCCAATTTGACTCATTTGATTCACGGATGCGCCAGGCCCCATTGGCGTCGAACCACCAGGAATAATTTGTTGATTTTGAGAACCAGGTCCCATTTGACCTGAAGATGGCTGTCCGGTTGGTCCGTTCGGTCCCATTTGACTCGCCCCGCTATGACTCAGCTGACTGCTTGGTCCACTTGGTCCTATTTGATTAGCAGGCCCGCCAGGTCCCATTTGACTTCCAGGTCCACCAGGCATCATTTGTCCACCAGGACCACTGGGAACCATCTGTCCTCCAGGTCCACTGGGTCCCATTTGCCCGCTTGGACCATTTCCAGGGCCTATTTGTCCTCCACTTACATTTCCCGATCCCATTTGTCCACTAGGACCGCTTCCAGGACCCATCTGTCCACCAGGTCCACCACCTGGTGGCATCGGATTTCCAGAAGGATTTCCTGGACCCATTTGACTTCCACCTCCCGGTCCCATTTGTCCACCAGGGCCATTTCCAGGACCCATTTGTCCTCCTGGTCCACCACTCGATCCCATTTGTCCCCCAGGACTGCTTCCAGGACCTATGGGACCTCCGGGCCCATTGCCAGGAGGCATCTGTCCTCCAGAACCACTTCCTGATCCCATTTGTCCGAGACCATTCGGTCCTAGTTGTCCTACAGGACCACTTCCTGGGCCTAACTGGCCAGCTGGTCCTCCAGGTCCCATTCCCATCTGCGACGAGGGACCTCCCATGTTTATTTGACCTGGACCGTTCGGGCCCATCTGCGAAGGTCCGTTGTGACCCATTTGCCCTGTTGGACCAACGGGACCCATAGGACTAGGCCCCATTGCTGATTGACCGCTGGATGTCATCTGGTTTGGACCGCCAGGGCCCATTTGATTAGGACCTCCGGGTGGCATCCCATGCGTATTAGGACCCCCAGGTGGCATCTGTCCTGGACCTCCAGGTCCCATGTGACTTCCAGGCCCACTGGCGCTCATGTGCCCTGATCCTGGTGGACCACTCGCGTTCATATGGCTAGGAATGGGCGGTCCACTGTTCAGGTGACTTCCTGGTCCCGGGGGACCACTGGCGTTTATGTGCGTCGATCCTGGAGGCCCGCTGGTGTTCATATGTCCAGATCCTGGAGGACCATTCGTGTTTACGTGGCCTGATCCTGGTGGTCCATTCGTGTTCATGTGACCTGGACCTTGTGGTCCGCTCGAACTCATGTGTCCTGGTCCCTGTGGGCCACTTCCACCCATGTGACCTTGTCCTGGAGGCCCGCCCATGTGACCACCAGGACCTCCAGGGACCATTTGGGAATTAGCTGGCCCGCCAGGACCCATTTGTGGGCCTGGTGGACCACTTCCAGGGCCCATTTGCGACGGTCCTTGGCTCATGTGAGGGCCACCTGGTGGTCCACCGCTTCCTTGTCCCATGTGACTTGGTCCAATAGGTCCTGGACCACCTGGCCCCATCTGACCAGGACCTCCTGGACCCATTTGACCAGGACCTCCTGGACCCATCTGACCAGGGCCACCTGTGCCCATTTGTCCTGGTCCGCTGTTACCCATTTGATTTGGACCAGACTGCATCATGTGAGACGTTCCTTGAGGTCCGTTTGGTCCCATCTGACCAGGAACCATGGGTCCTCCGGGGCCTTGTTGGTTGTTGGAACTTTGATTGGATGGGCCACCGGGTCCACTTTGATTCTACAACAACCAACGGAGAAAAGTTTCTTTTTTTTTTTTTTTTTTTTTTTTAATTCCAATAATTGTCTATAGATACAAATTTAAGTATCTATAATTTAAATTTAGAACTTGCATTCGTCTAGGAACGAGTAAAAGGTTGTCCATCTTTTATTTATTACTCGCAATTTTTATTTAGATAAGAGCTTCGTCCGTCTCTGTCTGGAGAATGTATCAGCGCCACTTGCAGGCACGTGTACGTTGAAAGATTCGAGCTATCGAGCAGACAAGGATTCTAAGCAAAGTGCATGGATTGGCAAAACATTTTTAAGTAAGTATAATATTTCACTGTGACGACGAAGTCAGCATAATCTCTTGACCGTGACCCTATGGAAATGTTTCGAATTGGTGTGGAAAAGTACGGTAATTAGAGGAAGAAGAAGTATTGAAGATAAAAAAGACGAAGTCTGGAAGATAATGGCAGGCAGGTGTGTCGAATCTATTGATTCTATGTCGCTGTCGTGTACAACTGTTTTGCTTTAAAAAAAAGTCAATTACGGAATATTAATGTTACAAAGGTAACAACCAATAGATGCAGTTTTGCATCAAAATCACCGAGGGAAATAAAGCTGATGGTCCACAATTTATTTCTTGTTTACAGATTAAATATAGTCCTGTTCAAAAAACGTCGCACGAAACGTGTACTTCCACGTGAGAGATTTTTGAAACATGTACTCGCTCCCACGCGTTATGTAATTTGAGTTCAATTCCAACCGAGTACATAAGTTCGGTCACTTTGTAATAGTATTACGATACAGTTTATCCATTACCAAGTAAATGACTCAAAGAAAACATTGATATTACGAGCCTCCTGTATGAAGGGATTTGCGCGAAGAAAATAATCTTTACCTTATCTTAGAAATTGAATTGAAAAAGCGAAAGAAAGTTAAATTTATTATATTTAATCCTCCGTCGATTTCACCATAAAATTGGAGCAAAAATACAACACAGGTAATAAATGTCCAATCGATTACGATTGTTGTTTCGATCAGTTTATTTTCCTAGATGCTACTTTTACAAGAGTGTTTCGTATGCAAACATAGAACGTGGCCGTGTTCGATAGCTGCGATACAATTGTAACGACCATTGGTAAACTTGAATCGAGGAAATTCATTGTAACACATGTTTGTACATATATCGCGGTGATAATGGTCACTACAGTTCCGTGTGCGACCAGCGCAGTGACGTACCGTCAAAGATTATTTTGTCTGTACAGATAAAAACGAATACGATCATCTGTCATGCACGTGGTCCAGGTGTGACATAACTGCACACGCAGCCGCGACGTGAAACAACTCGATTCAGCAATGTTGTGGACTTTAACAGTCTTACTTTTTTCCCCTCTATTGTATTTTTCATTAACAAGAAACCAACGGAAATGTGTCTCGAGTGTATGCTAATCGAGCCAGGCAATTTGCCGTTCGAGACATTCAGGTGCCAAACTGAGCAACTGAAATAAAGCTTACATTAATTACTTAGGGTATAGGTTCCTAACAGTTCTTACTGAAATTTAGAAATGTACGGAATGTGCTCAGAAAGATTTATTTATATATTCCATGAATTTAGAATTTTTTTGTCAGAGACTGAAAGGAATATGAATAAGGGTGTTATTATGGGGCGTTTAATGCCAAGGAAAGGATAAAGCCAGGGACGTTTGTTTTTTGTTAATTTTCGTACAAAAGTGTCCAAGGGTCAAACAGATCGAGATTGATTACATATTATACGATAACATTTAAAAGATTGCTTTTATTGGTTTACTACTACTACACCTACTATAACTAATACCAATACTTCTTATTATATATAGAGATCTTGCAATGTGCATGGGTGTGACTGACTTTTGATCGCGTTAAACTGTAATATTTCCAATATCAGAAAGTTTACCATACACTAATTAAAACTCCCAGTAGCGAGTCCCAACCCCTTCGGACGAGTCCCGCGAGCAATGTTGTACGAATTGCGCAGTAAACCGATTATTACATGAAATCAGTTACTGATAATCACATGTAGTGTACATGAAAAAGAAGTCGCGGAAATACATGTCTGATGCTAGACTGCGTGAACGCAACGTCCTAGTGGGGGTTGACAATCGTAGCATAAGAACAGGGCTTTGGCGAACGATGATGTTACTTTGAATCGAGCTAGTTGACAATACAGTGACAGACGTTGACTTACACACGACATCCAACATGGCCAACAAAGAGGAGCTTAACTATTGCTACGATTTCGTTTTGAAGCTCACCATTGAATCAGGAAAGGTACTGTGTTTAATTAAGTTCCTTTTACGGATCGATAACTCGTTTAATTCGGTTGTTAACAAAGTAAAGTATGCGTTAATATTTGTTAACAAGACGGAGACGTGATAGGCACAACTATTTCTATTTAAGGGACAACTCGTTTTTAAATATTATTCGCGTTAAAATTGATTTTGTAAAAGTTTCAAGATAATTACAGAAAATGCTAAAAGTTTCTACTAAATTCTGATACAACTATCGTGTACCATATGCAAATTGTACACAAGTATGACACGTTTATCACCGTTAGACAATTCTGTATGCTGCTGCATAATACCTACATAGTGGCACGGCTCTTTAAAAACGTCAGTCGTACTAATGATCCTGCTTATACACATTATTCGTTTTGGAACAGTTTTAAAGATTTTTCGAGGCATAGAATCTGATTGAATATTATTTATTTATTTTTTTTTTATTTTACGAAGGGATTAGCAAGTATATCCTTATATGCTGGATGAATTTTTAGAATCCTGATTTAAGGTGGTCATCGAAGAATTAAAGTAAGAAACATTTAGTAGGAAAAATATGATAGCTTTGCAATAGGATAAAACTCCGAACTTCAAAACGGCGCAACCCCCCGAACGAAAACATTTGTATTTATTTTTATAAAAATCGTTCGCTTCAATCATTTTTATTTGCATGGTAACAAATCAATTTGTTGAAACTTTATAACGATTAAATTGCACGCGTAAAGATTATACAGAGGGGAGATGTCATGCATTGTTTTCGCCTTACTGCGGCAACAAAGTCGACGAAATAATAAATCATATCAAACGCGAATGTGACATAATTGCAAGCGGAAGTGAGGAAATAAGAATGATGTAACTACTTATCTAAAACTTCATTCACTCGAAGGTCACTTATTTTTTATTATACTTTCATACGTTGCGCGTACTATAATCAGTACCGAGCTTAACGAGACTTATTCTTGACATTTAGGAGCAGATAAAAATGGATAAATATATTTTATTTCCTCTAATTTTATCGAGTAGGTAAACAAAGACTGGGAACAACACGAAGTTGGTTTAACAAAGTACTTACCCTTTTTCAGGTGATTCGGGACGCCATTCAGGGCTCAAAGAACATCGATACCAAAGCTGGGGACTGGGATTTAGTGACACAGTACGATAAAAAAATAGAGGAGATTCTGATAGACGGCATAGCGAAGGCATTTCCAAAGCATAAGTAAGCGTTTCTCATAAGAGGAGTGCACGATCCGAGCAAAGTTCGAATTGTAATCCTTTGGGTTATAGTGGCAAGCGTAATTATCGCCTCTGCGCTCTGTTTTTAATTGTTTTAACATATTTCTCGGTAGTCGGTCGAGCGTGCATCGCACCTGGGCGTTTCCCGCTCGAGGGAAAAAGAAAATCGCAAGAAGCATCAAAAGTAAACACGAATATCATATCTTCGTGTAACTTTCCATACAAACTGATAAAGTAGAGACTGATAAAATTAGTAACGAATTTTCTAGTTTAAATATTAGTGTGAATCGTACACTCCTTGTCAATTACAAAAAGACATTTAATTATAAAAATAAAATTGAACGTCCGAAATTGATGCTTATACATTCATGGTTTTTAGATTTATTGGCGAAGAAACCGTATCGTCCTCAAACCATTTGCCAGATCTGACAGATGAACCGACATGGATCATCGATCCCATCGATGGAACCACGAATTTCGTTCACTCATTCCCTTTCGCTTGTATATCAATCGCGTTGGTGGTGAAGAAGCAAATAGAAATTGGTATCGTTTACAATCCAGTATTGGAACAGTTGTTCACGGCTAGGAGGGGACGTGGAGCTTTCCTGAATGGAAAACCCATCAAGAGCTCTCAAGCAGATAGTAAGTCAGTCAGCTTTAAGAAAGTTCTCTCGACGTTCCGTCTCTTCTAAAAATAAAAGAATCGGAGAAGAAACTCAGGATCAGTCGAGCCTCGTGTCCTCCGAGGCTCGAACTTTTACGCGACACTAATCGGGACTCTAACGACACTCTCGTTGCAAAAATGACGTGCTTTCAGAATTGGAGCACTCGTTACTGTGTCTAGAGGCATCGTACGCGACGATGGAGAACGTCAGGGATACTATTCTTGGAAGACTGGAGGCTTTCGTTTCGGTAGCTCACGGAATACGAACAATGGGATCAGCAGCGCTGACTCTTTGCTACGTGGCGATGGGTGCAGCGGAAGCTTATCACTCTGACAATTTGTGGCCTTGGGATGTGGCCGCTGGTGTACTTATCATCAAAGAAGCTGGCGGAGACGTGATAGACACAAATGGTTCGCGTTGCTCGGCACAACCTTATAATTAAGTCGCGAAAATGAGTTGACCATTCGTTGCATAACGCTTGCATTCTTCCTTCATTTCAGGTGGTGAATTCAACCTCATGTTGCCAAGAGTAATCGCAGCCGGTAATTACAAATTGGCCAAAGCGCTATCGGCGCTGATAAAGAAAGCAGACGCTAAGACACAACAAAAAAAAATTAGCAGCGGCAGCAAGGCGTGATCATTAAGAAATAATGACACGTTGCTCACCCCTTACTGTTACACCGTAAATGGTTCCCTACTCGAGCAGAATCTAATAGATCGGTGAGCAATTAGTTGCGATTAATATCGATTCGTAGATCAACAATGTACGCGATTGGAGTGCCCCAAAACCGTCAGTAATTATACAAACAATGTAGCAGTATTTTTCAATTGGTAATAAGCAAGTTGAAGTACCTAACAAACTGAAGTCGGATTACGCTGCTAAAAGAGGTGTCAGCCAGTGACCTATTAACCGTGTTGATCGTGCTAATTTTTTGTGCGAAACGCGCTAACGGATACCTTTGCCGACTGTAACTGTTTTTTTTTTTTCTTCTTCAGACGAACGATGAGAGTCGTAAATGTTTTCTAACTTAATAAATTTTTCTATGCCGAAATGGAGTATTTTATTGATTTTGCTGAACGTACTTTAAGCTTTTCACAACCATCCTAGCGCACTCGTGGTCCTAACCAATTCAGAAAGGGATGCAGCTTCAGACGAAAGCCGTCGTCGATCGTGCTGCGAACTTCAAATTCGTCGGGAAACGAACCCTCGAAACGGACCCCCTTCTCGGGTCTCGAACGATTTATTACGTGTGCGATACCGCATCTTAGATAAGACGTCTTCTTGAATGATTAGGTTCAACCGTCTGTGTCCTTTGGGCGCTACTGTATCGTCACTCACGACGATAAGAATATCACGGCACGTTGATCGCGCGTTTGATCGTTCAGTCGTCAGGTCGAAAGCTTCGCAATCGGTGACAATGACGAGCGAGCAGGACATTAAGAATTACTTTGAGCTTGCCAAGGAGCTGACCTTGAAGGCAGGCGAGGTGAGTTGAGCCACTTCCTTATTTTAGGAAAAAAGATTTTATCGACGGTGACTCGGTTTCACAGTGACGGTTCAAGTTAGCTGATAGTAATTTCTCGCGCGAAGTAAAAATAACGAACAGGTGACAAATATTACTTTGTACAGAGCAATTAACATCTGATTTAGGATAGTCGTAAGAGTCTTTCACCTACTTTATCTCGCATAC